TGTAAATTAACCAAAGTGTTTTTTTGGACATGAATAGAAGAAACCACCTATACAAATGGTGGGCAAACGCGGCTCCCTATGTAAAATCGCACGTATTAGGGCTCTGGACACTTGAGAGATGCGTTAGTAACTGGTGCAGAGAAAAACAGTTCCCTCACAGGTGAAGCACCGGGTCACGGAAAAATACGGCGCCTCTTCGTCACCTGCCACTTGACTATCAAAAATTGAAAAAAGAATTACTGCCTCAGTGAGCGCAGAATATGAACTTAATCAGGCAAAGGGAGACCGTCTCCCCCTCCCATTTCTCACCTTTGACAGAGGGCAGACGGAGTCGCGTCACTCAGAGAGGCCAACCTCGAGTCAGTGATGACCCATGGCGTCACAGGAAACCACAAGCCACAGAGACAGCGATCTGCCCTTCCCTTCACCTGCCACTTGACTATCAAAAAGTGAAAAAAGACTTGCTGCCTCAATGAGCACAAAATAATAAATGGGGCGTCAACAGCAAAAAGAACATAACGATGGCTTGATTCAGACAGATAATAGCAAATAGCAACTTGCTTCAAGCACAAAACCCATCCCCAGGCAGCTTCAGGGGTCGCCCACATCACTGATGCATCCTATATAATCAAACTAGTAGATGGGTCTAATCACATCTTGTTCAGGATAACAGTTATAATAACGAAGCTAGCTAGTGCACACACTAGTACGCTAATCTAGCTTTTACATAGCTGAAAGAGCTGATCTTAATGTGCCACTTTATATTATCTGTGGGAGGCTACCACCTGACCCAAGCCTTCTCCTGCAGGAAACCCTCAACACGCTCGCTTTCTTTGTTACAAAGTAAGTTTTTTTGACAATGTGGCCTCCCCTCCTCATTAACAACCAACCAACAGAACCAGGTGACGCAGACTGCAGCTGTAACTCCTGAGACACAAGGCCCCTCTCTCGGTAAGCAGCGAGGAGAAAAGGGCGGCTGTCGCTCTGAAGGCTGGGTGGCGCTCAGCGTTCCTGAGCGGTTGCTTGCGCGACCTCAACTTCCACGTGGGGAAAAAAAGAATAGCCTGCTGATGGGAGTCTCTTAATAATAATAATAATAATAATAATAATAATAATAATAATTGCTTACACTTATATAGCGCTTTTCTGGACACTCCACTCAAAGCGCTTTACAG